ATTATATTAATATTATCCCTGCTGCCCCGCTGTTTATTTTTTATTAAATCACTGTATTTGCGATGCAATCGTCACGTGACCTCCGCAGCCAATGGTAGCGCGAGTAGAACGATTAGGTCCACCTGTGTGCAGCCCTCTCACTCAGACGTGTGTGGGGAGGCTGGATGACAGCTGTGGACAGGTTCGTATTGGAAAATATTTGCGGGTTATCATTGTGCCTTGCTATAAGTTAAGTGTTGAAATACCACTTTTAGAGCTGACTACTGGGCCGTGGGGAGTCTTGTGCCGCCATCGCGCTGGGCATACGCTGGGAATTGGTGAGTTGGATGTGTGTTGTTGTGAAATGTGCTAAGCTAGCGGCATAACCCATTGCGTTAGCATTGGCGAGTTAGCTCTGTGTATGTTGTCATGCTGGCAATGTATATTACATGGACCCATTTTATGATTTTTATATGATGTGATTTAAGATGTAAAACAATAGTTAAGTGTACTTAGTTGTGATTTATAACTATAGTTAACTGTTGTTGATGCATTGGTGTATACTGTGTGCACATGAATTTAAACTTTAATATGAACTAATTAGTGAATAGTTTCCTGGTACTTACTGGTCCTGTTTATTAATACAGGCCAGGTGGACTATACTGGGTGATGTGATGGCGAGCTGAGACGATCTTGGAGCAACCCTGGTCCGGTAGGAGGCTGACACAGCCTGTCCCCCACCACTCTCACTACTGACACATACCCACATATTAGCATACTTTGTGGGGTGTCATTGGCAACTGCTGGATTATATTTTTGTTTTCTTATTCCATGGACTACGGTTGTCGAACCACAACGAACTTTATAACAACTTGGTGCACTCTAATCAAAATACTGCAGTAATCTTGTGAATGGTCTTCTATATTTTTTCCCCTTTTGTAAATATGTAAATTTCTTCTTTCACAATATATGGTACCATAAACCACACCGTTACTGTTGGTTGTGTTTTACTTACTCACCCCAGCTCCAGTAGGCAAACCTAAGATCTTCTGTGTGAGCCCAACCCTTACTCTTTACGTCATACAAAGTAAAGCTATTACATTAATAAAGGAATTAGTCCATATTACACTAGACCTGGTTCATCAGGGCACAACCCCCAGTATGACTTTATAACCATATTACTTGATTATATTTACACTAGTAATGTCCAAAACGTGTTAAAGGAGCAGTATGTAAAAACTGGCCAAAAGTGGTACTGCAACCTTTGCCAGATACACAGACGAATCCAGCTGGGACCATAACAGCTGAATAGACAAAAGACAAAAGTCACAAAGATAGAAATCCTGGTTTTATTTCTTGTTTTGTCGTTAATGATTTGAGAATCATACCGAGACCTTTTTTTAGCTCTGCGCCACATGGTACTTTACCAGCGAGATTAGCTCGACGTGGTGACTTCTGGCGCCCGGATCACAGACTTTCTGATTGGTGTAAAGGTGGAGGGCGGGACATCGAAATGAAAACAATAACAGCATTTTAGGGCTGTAAAACTAATTTGAAATCCAAATATCTGTGAACTACTGTTATCAGTTACAGAAGTATTGGAAAAGAGCATGTTTTATTAAATTTTTGACAGATTAGGGCCCTTTAATGATGACTTGACATGAAAATCTTACATATTGCTGCTTTAACACAAATCAATATTAACGGCGTTATTTTTTTTTATCGCGCAACCAAATCGTATGACCTACTTTTCTGTTTTTTGTGTTTTTTGTTTTGTCTTTTACTGTGGTCACTGTTAGTAGTGTTAGAAAAACTACAGGAACCAGAACTCTATACTAAAATAAAATAAAGATCCCCAACTTCAGCGTAATGATGAAGAAATAATTAAGTACAATATTACTAACTTTAGCATGATAAGAAGTAAGTACAGATTAATGTAGATTCCAGTGCAAGTAATATCTAATTGTATGTTTACATCTGCACATGTTTGCAGATGAGGGTCTGGGACAAAGTTAAGTAAAGCTAAAGTATTGCACATTCTGATATTAGTTCAAATTAACTTGTGATCGACTGTCTACAAGTAAAGACTCAGACTTGGTCCAAATGAAGCAAACTCTGGTTCACTTGGGGCTAATGAAGATCAATTTATTGAAGATGTGAAAATCAAAAACACCTCAGTGAGTTGAAACAGTGATGTCACGAGGACGGCTGCATTTGCTTCTAAAGCGTGAACTAAAATCTGCAGCATTTCAAACGGATCCATTTGTGAACCTTTTGCACCATGAGCAGATGGAGGCTCTTTGTGAAGCCGAGGCCCTGTAGGGTTGACCTGAAGATGACGGATTTCACATAATTATGGTTTGTATAAGTGGAAATCTATACAGAACATAAAAATTTAAATCCAAGATCAATATAAAGAGGAGTACAGCTCTCGTCTGGAGGCGGAGGTTGCTTAATGGACAGAGGAATGACGCACTATCGGGGTTTGGTCCTTTCAAAGCTGATGCAAATTGTACCAACAGTATATTTAAGATAAGATAAATGGGGCGTTCAGAGCGGATCATGCTGCGGCGACTTTCAATGCAAAGTCAGTGGTGACGTCTGTTTGAGCGTGGAACTGCACGTGTGTCACGCCACGCACCTACTACGCGGCAAAAGTGGCAAAGGCGGCATTGTGGCGACTCGACGCAGGAGATGGACATTGTTGGACTTTTTCTGCTGGCCACACGTCGAGCAACCAATCAGAGAGCTGCAAAGTGGTCACTGAGACAGAGCGAGCAGACCTGAAGATACTCGTAAACAGCCAAAACAAGAGCTAAACAAGGACTAAACAAGGACTAAACAAGGACTAAACCAGGACTGAACCAGGACTAAACCAGGACTAAACCAGGACTGAACCAGGACTGAACAAGGACTAAACAAGGACTGAACCAGGACTGAACCAGGACTAAACCAGGACTAAACAAGGACTGAACCAGGACTGAACCAGGACTGAACCAGGACTGAACCAGGACTAAACCAGGACTAAACCAGGACTAAACCAGGACTAAACCAGGACTAAACCAGGACTAAACCAGGACTAAACCAGGACTGAACCAGGACTGAACCAGGACTGAACCAGGACTGAACCAGGACTGAACCAGGACTGAACCAGGACTAAACCAGGACTAAACCAGGACTAAACCAGGACTAAACCAGGACTAAACCAGGACTAAACCAGGACTAAACCAGGACTAAACCAGGACTAAACCAGGACTAAACCAGGACTAAACCAGGACTAAACAATGGGGTTCAGTGCTTGTGAACATTTGCCTCCAGTCTGAGTTTCTCCTGTGACAACAAATGCTGCTAACGTGTTTGCTGATACAGAAGTACTGTTTAATAATAAAATAAACTTTTGGCGCAGCTCCGTGAACACAAACTGCTGTTATATAAAGTCTCTGAAGATCTCAGACACAGAGCTGCATTCTTGGAGAAGAACTTTTCACAAAAAGCCGCAAGCTTAACTCCGTTAGGAGCTCCCTTCGTCCAAACAAAACCACAGCTGTCGTTTCAGTTTATATTTTTGCCGCTGCTGTTAAATACAGAATGACGTTGGTTCTTTCCTGTCTTTTCCGTGGCCTGAGGAGGATGTTGTTGAGGAAGTGGTTCTACTGCTGGGGTTCCCATGTGTAAGTTCCACTGCCCCCTACTGCCCGTGCGCTAGAACTACATTGTTTTCCGTCGTCATGCAGACGCTGTGCACTTGAATCAGGAGCCTGGTCGTTTTTGCTAATTGCTTTGCAGCGTCTCTGCAGCTTCTCGTCTACACAGGGCCTGAGTTTGACCCCTCTGCTTCAGTGGTTCAGTACAAAGCAAACAAATAAGAAATCCTGTTAGTCATACTTCTAATAAAGCTATATCTGAGCATCACAATAACATTGGCACTTAGATCTTAGAGAATATTGCAGACGGCGACAGTGGCGTTCCGTGGGAAATGAATGCCTTTTGCCACTCTGCGGTGGGAGATTCTTATCAGTGAGACATCAGCATTCATCGCAGCCTGTCTGTCTGTGGCGGCCACTGATCGGCCCAATGAGTTATGATGCCGTGTCCTGTTCTGTAATCCCCCAGAGCCCGCCTGTCTGCTGCCGCCTCTCTTATGCACACACACACACGCACACACAAACACGCGCACACACACACTTTTCCTGTCCTTTCTTTGGCCTTATTAGACGATTACACTTCTCTTGTTACAGAAAGGGCATCTAGAATTGATTGCAAAATAAAGTTGTTATTAATATTTCTGTTTTTTTATTATGACAATTTGTACATGCCAAAAGCTTTTACGATGAGAGAACCTTTATTTGTTAGGGTTAGTGGGGAAATTTCAATGTTGCAGCGCACATACAGGACAGTACATAGATAGATAGATACTAGTAAGAGCACACATTGATAGATATATATAGTAGTAATAGCACACAGGGAGCACACAAAATATATAATCTAAGTAGCTTCTTTGCTAGCTGTAAATGCTTCAATATCAATGTGTTTTTAGGACAAAGAGATCCTTCATTCGTTTCACAATGGGGAAATTTCAGTGTTACGTCACTAGTTACAGAGCAGTAAGAATGAGGAACACACAGCACAAGATAAATGCACCTATGGTAAAATAAAATAAAATCTGTAACTTTAGCATGATAAAGAAGCAAGTATGACATATCTAGCTATAGCATAATAAGAAAACAATATATTATCAATGTGTAATTAGTGTGGTCCAGTGTTTTTAGTGTATTTATTTGATATTGTGATATTTTGTGACTTGGTTGTAGCTTCTGAAACTCCAGTAGTGTGTCCTGTATGTGAGTAAATCCTATTTCTGGCTGCACACTCATGGAGCCCTCCCCTCACTGCTCCAGATCCTTAAATCCCAGACTATGATTTCAGTGTCTCATGCCCGTCTTTGACATACAAGTTTCCTTCTTCCCCCTCTGCTGACTTCCACTTTCAAAGTGTCCTCCAACTTTTTTTTCCACTGGGCGATGAGCCAGGGCCACAACAGTCTGAGCAGTACTGTGTTATTGGGTAGTTATGTGGTTGTTGGCAGACAGGCTCAGAAACTGGGCCTGTCCACAAACGTTAGCCGTGAGGTAAAGTCAACATTTTAAGATGGGGGAGGGAGCAGAGACTGGGCCCTGACACTAACTCTGTGGTGCCAGCATAGAGGCATCATAAATCAAGTGTTATGTAGCAGCAATAATTCAAAAATCCATCATTTTTTCTGGTCAAACATGCTTCTCATTAGAGTTTTAATCTGTCCCAAAAGAATCCAGCCGGACGTGAGCCCCGAGCTTTGAGTCCCAAGTCCTGGGCTCACACAGGTGCTGACTCCCTGCACAGTTAAGCCCTAGACACAAAGTTTATGTTGAAAGTATGCAACATAACATTTTGTTTTCAAGTGCATCAGGATTACATGCCAGGTCTGTGGGGATAAGCATTTGGGAATCTCGATCTAAACCCTGGTAGAACACGATTGTACTTTATTTGTTAAAGTGAGACTTGTAACCGACCGACCAATGGAACTCTCCGGAATAAAAGCAGTGCGCCTTCCTCCCTTTTTTCTGAGTGAATCCACGTCTCTCCTCCTCTCTCCTCGTTCCATGTATTAAACACATTCATTCACACTCCTTATTCCCTGCTGTTACGCAGCCACTTGACATCTTCATGTAAATTAAAAATGTTGTCTCTCGAGGAGAAATCCTTCCATCACAGCACTTGTCGAGTTGTTAAGCCACAGCTGCAGTCTCACTATCTGTTCATGTATAAAGCTGGAGCTGCAGTCAGAGGGCTGCATTCTCACACCGCAGCAGAGGAACACGTCCAGAGACTCAATGTCTGTTTAATTCAATGCAGTAGATCTGACCTTCAGTGCAAAAGGCTCGACCCCTAACATCCATTTTTCCTGCAGTTCCTGTTGTTTCTGTTGCCTCTCAAACTTCACTGTTTATATGTTTATTTCCTGTTTGTGTTCAGGTGGTCTGTGGAGCGTTTTCACTTTAGGGGGAGCTGGCACAAAAACAGGGCTTGAACAGGACCACAACCATTTACCGTTATCCAATCAGAGCCTTTTGCTGCTGCTGGTCCTGGCCAATCTCACAGATGGACCTGATTTCCCCAACCCGTACAGACAGGCCATTACCTGCTTCAGAAACACACAAGGTACTGCAGCTTCACACGTGGTCCGCTGCTCTAATGATGTAGTGATAATGATGTTTCTGCTGCAGACACGTCAGCGTCCCCTGTGGAGCAGCCGCACACCTTTCAGATTAACTTCAACAGTTTGTACACAGCTCTGTGTGAGCAGCAGCGCTCAGACCAGGCCACGCTGCTGCTTTACACCCTGCTGCATCAGAACGCCAACATGAGGACCTACATCCTCTCCAGGACGGACATGGACAACCTGGTGTGTTCCCTTTCAATGATAATAACACAACAACTCCCAGAGCAGTCAGTTTGGACGAATAATTATTCATGTCATTTTTTCCATCAAATTATCTTTTGTTTTTGAAATTTTACCTTTTGCCTCATTCATTTGAATGTAAAATTTAAATGACAGTTGAGGGTTAAAGCTTCTCTGTCAAGGTGCTGGTCCTGGACTGGTCCTGGTCTTGGTTTTGGTTCTGACTTTCCACCAGAAAGTACTTGTTACCAAGACAACACACCGTTTACTTAGTATTTAGTAGTTAGTATTTTGCCTTACAACAAAAAATTGTTGGTCTATTTTCAAGTTATATTAAACCGTTTTAGCACTTATCAAAAGTGAGCAAAGGTAAAATCAACCTACACATTTATAAATGACTGTTGGAAAACTGAACATTGGGGGGGATTTATAAGAACTCCATTGGTTTGAATGGGAGCAGTCACAATGACAGCTGTGGAAGTTTAAGTTAAATAATGTATGCACCTGAGGCTCATGTCACTAATGTCAGAAATGTTCAGAAACCTCTCTATAAAGTGTGGATAAAATGTGTTTAAGTCAATAGTAACAACTGAGCCAGGTGTCCTTCTCTCGCTGCAGGTTTTGCCGATCCTTGAAATCCTTTACAGCGTGGAGGAAAGAAACTCTCATCACGTCTACATGGCACTGATCATTCTCCTCATCTTGACGGAGGACGACGCTTTTAACCGCTCCATCCATGAAGTGGTAAACATCGCTACAACTCTCCTCATGATTGTTACAGACGGAGCTGTGATCTCTAACGTGCCGGATCCCGCTCTCTCTCCAGGTGCTGAAGAGTGTCCCGTGGTACACAGAAAGATCGCTGACAGAGATATCTCTCGGGAGTCTTCTCATCTTAGTCGTTATTCGCACGATTCAGTTTAATATGACGCGGACAAGGGTAAGATCTAGGACTAGTTATGGGGAAAAATCGATTCTGTTCAGTATCGCGATATTTTGGGCACGCAATTAAATTGAGAAAAAAGTATTGCGATATTTAATTTTAAAAAAACTTTCATGTATATTTTGTCTGCTTTTTGTGACTTTAGTCTATTGTATTTGAATAATTTAAATGGTGTCTTGTCTATAATTTGGTCTGTGTCCTGAAATGTTCAAAGGATTAAGTTTTTGCATTACCCTCCTAAGTGTTTGCTTCAGTTAACTTACTGACTGCCAGCCGTTTTTGATGATTTCACTGACTTTCAAGACCCACAGAATATTGTGCGCTATGACTATGTGAAATATTAAACCCGATTCTGAAAGATTGGACGGTCTACTTTCATCAGCAAAATTATGTTTGTTTCTAGCTAGTCTTGTTCTGCTGTAATCCCCAGTCGAATACAGCAAAATTTGACAGAAATCACCAGTCTCAGACCAATACGTCAATGGCAGTCAATGATCAATAATGTGCTGCCCATAATGAATGTGACATTTTAGTTGAGTCTTGTTTTACTGACTTTCTGTAATGCCTTTGAATAATATGAGGGACACGAATCGCAATATATCGCAGAATCGTATCGCAATCCTCTCTGTATCGCAATCCTCTCTGTATCGCAATATGTTAAGAATCGCGATAACTCTGAATTGTGGCCCAAATATCGCAACACTGTGGAATTGTCAACCAGCCCTTTCAAGCGTTCATTAATATATGTTTTCTTGTTTTATTTTTTGTAGGATAAGTACCTTCATACCAACTGCCTGGCTGCACTGGCAAACATGTCGGCCCAGTTTCGATGTCTGCACCAGTACGCTTCTCAGAGAATCATCAGGTGTTTTTCATTTCTTTTCCCTTGAATTTAACGTAGCAATATGTAAGATTTTCATATCAAGTCATCATTAAATGGCCATAATCTGTCCAAAGGCGTTAATAAACCATGCTCTTCTTTAACACTAGGACCGCCGTGCTCTAAACATACCTTGCACCGCCCCCTGCGGTCAGTTGACCGCTATGTATTTTGCGCTGATACAGCCTTTTGCCAAATTGATTGTTCACTAAACCAGAATTTGTTGTTGCAAGGAAATCGTGATCATAATGAAACTGTGTAAATTATTTGTCTAAATATGCTAAGTAATTGTAATTCCAGCCGAAATAAAAAAAAAATTACGAAGACTTTTCTGCCTAGATTTATTTTGTAACTTTGCAAACACGTAAAAGGTCGGTCACTATATGTTAAATTTGACTCAGTAACAATATGTAAATTCAAACAATATAAATGATAGTTTAGAGCACGGGACCATAACGTCTTCGCGCTGCTATATGCGTCTACTTCTTACGTCATCTCCAGACTGTTTTCTTTTTAGAGGCCGAAATCACTGTGGGAAATATTATCTCGATAATAATAATAGTATTCGTATTGACACAAGATCATCAGCTATAGGCTACCATCGTCAATGTACAATCTTCAATTTTACACGGGACACGTTGTATATATATATTTGTATTTATTTGAGACAAGCAGTGCTCTTTATGATCAGAAGAAAATTATAATCATTGCCTTGCAGTGTGCGCTGTGCAGAATAACACAGTGTTGTCTGGATAAAATAATAATATGAATAAGAATATATGAGGGCCGCTTCTGCCCCACAGTCGCTCTCCTCCTGCAGTGTCCGCGGGTGACGAGAGGCCTCACAGCGCTCTATCTGCACTCTGCCTTGATAGTTCATCTAATTGTTCTATTTTATTGCGATATTGTATTCTGCTTTATTGCCTTCTTCTATGTATAAATATAAGAATGTAATTGATGATGAATGAAAAGGCAGAATGGAGCGACAGCGCGCACACAGACACCTGCGTATGGCTGGCATTACGCGGGTCATGTGAGTTATTGCTTCTGGACTTGTTCCAACACTGCTGTCCGTGCCGTGAATGCACTACGGGTTTACGTTCAGATTTAGAATATTATAGGTGTTCTCCCCGCTGTGACATCTCACCTCCGTCAGACTGTTCTCATTCAATGTCTTGAAGCACTGTCAGGGCTTCCGTGTACTTGCAGCTCTATTCATGTTGTACTCCTCTCAATTCAAAACTCTTTCTCTCTCCCAAATAATAAAAAAAACCTCAAGTCCCTTTAGAGTCTAATGACAACATATTGATACATTTTTATAAGGCGCGAAAAAACCCCGGGAAAGGATACTATGACAACAGTCGCCCCTGCGCCATGTATCCCTATGGGGCAGCAGAAAGGGCTGTGGTTTAGAAAAGTTAAAATGCGTGTAAATCTTGTTTTCTTTACTTTTTCCAAAAACAAAACACATCAAAATATAAACAACAAGTACCCAGTAAAAGTCATAAAATTTCAACTTCTGGCGTTTTGTTTTGAATACACTAATTAGCATATTAAAGTGAGTGACGGTCAGTTGACCGCTAGGGGCGCTCCTAGTGTTAACTGATAATTACGAAAAAATAAAGGACTACTTGAGTCAGTTCAAGAAATTTGGTGTTATTGCCGTGTCTGAGACTTGGTTGGAGGATAAGAAAGGTCTTGATGTAGAATTGGAGGGATATGAACTATTTATGCTGAACAGAAAAAATAAGAAAGGAGGGGGGGTTGCTATGTACGTAGACACTGATCTCAGAACTAAGGTGGTTCACAGTAAGTCTATTACCATCGATGGTATTTTAGAATGCTTAACTGTTGAAATTATTACTGTGGAATCCAAAACAATTACTGTTACTTGCCTGTATAGAACACCTGGATCGTGCCTGGATACATTCAATCAGAAATTAGATGGTTTGCTTAGTAATGCTGATAAGACGCACATTGTTTGTGGAGATTTTAATATAAACCTATTAAACTTGCAAAACAGCACAAAAACAACAGACTTTATCACAACAATGTATAGTAATAGTCTCTTCCCTCTTATCCTCAAACCAACAAGAATAACAGTTGACACGGCTACACTAATAGATAATATATTCACTAATGGAATTGAGAACAAAATTACAGCTGGATTACTTATAAATGATATCACTGATCATCTCCCCGTTTTCGGAATTTTTCATGGAATTTTATGTAAAGCTAAAATATCTGAAACGGTTATTCATAAGTTAGCCAGACATAGATCGCCAGAAACTATTGCTGGCCTTAAATGGGATCTTTTGGCCCAGACCTGGGATGAGGTCTATGCCTCTCTAGACCCTGATATTGCTTATAACACCTTCCTGTCAATTTTCACAAAACTATATGACAAGCATTGTCCTCTTAAAATGTGCAAGGTCAACCATAAAACTGGAACTGATAAGCCATGGTTTACAAATGGTATTATCAAAGCATGTAAAAAGAAAAACCATTTGTATAGATCATACATAAAACGTAGAACTGTAGAAACGGAAAATAAATATAAATTGTATAAAAATAAGTTAACAAGCATAATTCGATCTAATAAGAGGAACTATTATCATAAATTATTGGAACAATACAGAAATGATACTCAAGGGACCTGGAAAATACTAAATGAAATAATTAAGAAGGGCAAGAAAACATTTAGTCTGCCCCACTTTTTTGTCAATGAAAACAAAACCATAGAAAATAAGAAGGAAATTGCAAATGCCCTAAATACTTTTTTTACTAATGTTGGACCTACATTAGCTAACAAAATCGTTGAACTTAAAGACACACAAAGATTAAATAGTAATGGCTCAAAACAAAATCTAAACTCACTTTTCATAAGAGAGGTTGAGGAAAATGAAATAATAGATATTGTTAAAAAAATGAAGAATAAAAGGTCAACAGATTGTTTTAACATCGATATGATGATAGTAAAAGATATTATCCACTATGTGGTAAAACCTTTTACATTCATTTGCAATCAGTCCTTTCTTGCTGGCACCTTCCCAAGAGAAATGAAAACTGCAAAAGTAGTTCCAATTTATAAAAATGGAAATAAACATATATTCGACAACTACAGACCTATCTCGCTTCTGCCGCAATTCTCCAAGATCTTGGAAAAGTTATTTGCAATTCGGCTTGACAATTTTGTTGACAAATACAATTTGTTAAGTGAACATCAATATGGTTTTCGATCAAACCGATCGACTACAACTGCAATCATGGCTCTTGTGGAAGATCTGGCTACAGCAATAGATAATAGCGAATATGCAGTGGGTGTTTTTATCGATCTGAGCAAGGCCTTTGACACCATAGACCATACAAAGCTTTTAAAAAAGATTGAAAGGTTTGGTGTCAGGGGACCTGCATATGCCTGGCTGGAAAGTTATCTTGGCAACAGATACCAATATGTACAAATACACAATGTTGACTTTGAAAAAAAACTTATCACACATGGAGTTCCACAAGGTTCTATTTTGGGTCCAAAATTGTTTATAATATATATTAATGATGTGTGTGAAGCTTTGACAAACGTAAAATGTTTATTATATGCGGATGATACCAGCCTGTACTGCTCTGGAAAGGATCTGAAACAACTCCTTTCCACAGTAGAAGACGAGCTCACAGTTCTAAAAAAATGGTTTGATCTAAACAAACTTTCAATGAATCTGAGTAAAACAAAATATATAATTTTTGGAAATAGAAAAGTTAGTGTTCATACCATTCTAAAAATAAATAATACTGAAATTGAACGAGTTCAAGCAAATCAATTTTGCTTGAACTTGCAAGTTACCATTGATGGAAAACTTGAATGGAAATCGCATATAAGCACATTAAAAACAAAATTAGCAAAAACCATTGCTGTAATCGGAAGAATGAAAACTGTACTTGATAAAAAATCTCTTCTATTACTGTATAACTCCCTCATACTTCCTTACCTAAATTATGGCTTGGAAATATGGGGAAACAATTACAAATCCAATCCTATTTTCCTACTCCAAAAAAAGGCAATAAGAATTATCACTAAAGCAGATTTCTATGCACCAACAACTCCCATTTTTGTAGAGCTAAGTCTATTGAAAATCCATGATCTTGTTGATCTAAATACTTTAGTAACAGTGTATAAAGCACATAATAATCTTCTCCCTCCAAACATCCAGAAGCTTTTTGAACACAGGGAAAGTCCGTATAACCTCAGAGGAACTGCCATTTTCAAAAAAGCAAAAGCTAAAAAGAATTAAAAAAGTCGATGTATTTCTGTAAGAGGTGTTAATCTGTGGAACGATTTAGAAGATCATTTAAAACAGTCTAAAACAGTCAAAGCTTTCAAAAAGTTGTATAAATCTACTATCATCCTAAAATATACAAGTTAAGGATGAATAAAGTAAGAAACTAGACTTTAATAGATCCATAATGAATGAATTTAAATGACATGATTTAGTTAAAATAAATTAATGTAAAACAAACGTATATTTAAATATATGTATTCTAAGTACATGCTTATTTCTCTTCTGTTTGACACTTGATATTGTTTACGATAAATGTTTGTGTTTGTTTCTCGTGGAAGTTTGTAAATTGGGTTAGGCACAATAAGTTTTTACTTCAGCCTAAACCCTTTCGGTCGTTTGTGCACAAATTATGATGTTGCTTGTTTTATGTTTTATGTTTAAAGGAATGAAATGACCGAATAAACTACTACTACATAACAGTTCAGCCGCGATATTTGGATTTAAAAAGTAGTTTTACAGCCCCTAAATATTGTTTTCATTTCGATGTCCCGCCCCCCACCGTTTTGCCAATCAGAAAGTCCGTGATACAGGTTGCCAGAACTCACCTCGTTGAGCTAATCTCACTGGTGAAGTAACATGTGGCCACAGAACTAAAGCAGCTGGATTCGTCTACATATCTGGCAACCCGAGCCACTTTTGGACAGATTTTTTACGTACTGCTTCTTTAAACACTGAGATATGGGTTCAACTTTAAACATTTGGAAGTTTATGAGATGCAGGAAGGCTGAGGCAAAGTCTTAGTCTGAGAGAGGAAGGACTGGGAACGGGTCAAATGCAGTGTTTGTTGTTTGCTCGTTCCTTCCGGCTCTTAATCATCAATCTTAATTACATTGTCAAGGGCCACACCGCCCTCCCTCGTGCCTGCTGTACGCTTACATCAGACGCTCTGGTGTTATGTTTTAATAGATCAGTTGTATATGACAGTAACTATGCTCAGGGCTGGACATGACAGAATCCGAAGCTTGTGAGTTTGATAATAATAATAATAATGATAATTTAAAAACAAAGAAAGGTTGAATAATCCCTGCAGAACTGAGAGCTTACACAAAAAATAAAAAAATAATAATGCAATGGTTTTATCTAGCGCTTTTCTGGACACTCGTTGAGCTAATCTCACTGGTGAAGTAACGTGTGGCCACAGAACTAAAGCAGCTGGATTCGTCTACATATCTGGCAACCCGAGCCACTTTTGGACAGATTTTTTACGTACTGCTCCTTTAAACACTGAGATATGGGTTAAACTTTAAACATTTGGAAGAGCCACAGCTGCCCTGAGGCACACTGACGTCACCTACACCTGAATCTGTCACCTACAAACAGTAACTCCCTTTTTAACTCATTGTGTCCCATTGACGCACAAATACGTCAAAGCAAATAGTAACGTCGTGTTAATCCGTCAAATGCCTTTTTCGCTATTTTCACGTTCCCAGATGTCTATTGTATCTAATATGTATGGGGATGACTTGAGACCATATTTTATCGAGCCAGCAGGTGGCAGCATTGCTCTCTGAATGGTTTGAAAACATGTAGGTGCACATGTTGTGCCTCTTTTTTCTCAACTTTCTGGTGATTTCAGTAAAACTTCCCTCTACTCAACGGAAGATTACAGGGGAACGAAAAAAGCTATAAACAAAATTCTTTTTGCTGAGGAAAGTAGACAGTCCATTCTTTTAGGATCTGGTGTCGGATTTCAGATAGTCATAGTACACAATATTTTGTGGGTCTTGAAAAATCAGTAAAAATCATCATAAATGGCTGGCACTGTGGGAGTACCTGTTCTGAAATAGGCTGGCATTCAATGAGTTAATGATCCAGAGATGAACTACTATGTTAGATTACGATTGAGGATATCCTGTTTTTTTTCCCACAGTGGGGAGATTTCAGTTATTTACATAAAGTGCTCACCAGGTCATAAACATTTGGTGAAAATATCTGCAACTGTGGTGATACTTCCTCAGCCCCGCCCCCCTCTGCTGCGGACCTCTGCGTTCAAACACAAATTGCTGAAGTTGCATGGACTTTAGGGGAAATGTATGTACAGCACAAAAGACCCAGAAATATTCCAGTTTAAGAGATTCTTAAAAGTATTGTAAAAACTTAGGAGATTCTTGATTCAAATCATAACTCGACATTATTACTGCAAGCAGAAAACTTGGCCTGCCACATGTTTTGGTCATGAGGAACTCTTCATAAGCAACTTGTTTGTGTGCGTGTAACTTTTTTTTTAATTTTTTTTTTAGGATTAGTGGCACAGGCAACCTTTACATCCTCGGCCTGTAAGGCTAGCCCTCATCTGTCATTGCTTAATGTATTTTGCCAATTTAAGGATCAGGTGTCACAGTGCAGGTTCTTCAGACTCTCGGTTCCACAGCCTTGTCCATCGTTACCTTGACATTAAACAGGGATGATTTTGAACCACCATACAGTACTATTTTGTGACCTAAACAAGCAGGTGGCGCTACCATGGTGGTCCCCGAGCTACGATAAGGACCTCTTACAGACCCTGTTAGGATTTCAGTACATCAATTTATACCTCATGTTGGTGCTTAAGCTGATATGAACTTACTTATACAGGGTTTTGTTGTTTGAAAACCCTACTGCAGCCTTTTATGGAGTAATATCAAATACATACACTGCAAAAAGAGATTAAATATGAGGTAATAATTCATTTGACTACATTCTTCAAACAAGATTGGCCAATGGGACAAAGCCATATTCCAAGGGAGACATTTGTTGTATCTTTTAAAGACAAGATAATTTTGCTTTTGTCCCATTGGAAAATTTAGTTTTAAGGCTCAGTCAGAATGTGCTAAAATTACGGATAATCTTTTACGGAGGCGGAATTATAGTTTTCAAAATGTTAAATGTTTTTGTTTGTCTCCCGCAGCCTGTTTGCTCTGCTGTCGAAAAAGCACAACAAAGTATTGGAGCAGGCCACGCAGTCTCTTCGGGTCAGACAGGGAGACAACACCGCGCTGCCGGACTATGTGAGTGACACATTCACTCATTTACATTTTACTTCTTATTATTAGGGCTGTCAAACGATTAATGCTTTTAATCGAGTTAATTACAGCTTAAAAATGTATTAATCGTAATTAATCACATTTCAAACTATTGGCAAAATTATGCCATATTTTTCTGTAAATTGTTGTTTGAATGGAAAGATAAATGACAGCTTAGTGAACATATGTACTGTATTTGTTTGTTATAACAATAAATCCATATAAAATGGAATTAAGATTATTAACATTCTGTCTTTCTGTTTAGACTCAGACCAAAACTATTGTTTGTTACAGATGAGGGACATTTCAAAATAGTCTGAAATGCAGAATGTCATTAAATCTGTTTGATTTGCTCACACCATTACTTTTTTAGGCACAACGAACATGAACTGATGGTCGAAAGGAAAATTAGGTACCTCAGCTTTAATTTAGCGAGTGCGCTTCAGGAGAAGACACGGAGGAGACTGAGGCTCCGCAGTCCAGCTTCAGCGCTGTACATATTGTGTGCATCGGTTATGCAAAGACACGTACGCACACTAGAGAATAGTTCTGTAATAGTTTTGTGCGTGGTCTTGGATATGATCCCATTACGCAGCACCGTTCGCTGTCATCACAGCCGCTGGAATTAACGCGATAACGCAATAATTAGTCCTACTTATTATCAGACCTCTGCTTCTCTAACACAATGTCAGTTATTGCTAACCCGGACTCTGAGGAGCACAGGGACTGGTGCCCGGCAGGCCAGAGTGAAGATTCAATCCTTCAGTTGTATGCAGCTAAACAGATCTATATTTAACTTGGATGTGAACACTGTCAGAGTAGAAGCCTGTCTCACATTTTCAAGAAGACTTTTCCTGTATATATCCGAAACACTGCCTCCCCATGTTTAGTCCTGACTCTGAGGAGCACAGGGACTGGCCTCTTGCTGGTCCCAGAGTCCAATTTAAATCCCTCTGTCATACACTGTAGTCTTTTGTTTTATGCTTGTTTTCTAACCGTGCGAGGGGAAAGATTACGTTGTCGTTGGTTGTCCTTTGGGGATGTCTTTTCTACACTTCCTGCTGTAGCTTGAGGACCTCAGGACCTCACACAGCTGCTACACTGCCCTCGTCAGCATATACACGGATTAACGCCAGCACTGCCGCTTTCATTACAGCCTTTGTTTTTGTTGTCTGTTTGTATTTCCTGCTTGAGGACATGGCTTCATCGGGAACATGTGGTGATGGTGGGAATTGCACAAATACAGCACTAAACTTTCCATGTATCATCATTGGAATGTGCTCCCTACACACACAAAAAATTGGTTAAATATAATGTTTGAAAATTCTGTATGAATAAGCATCGACATTTTTGCATTGTCCCCATTTGCTTTTCTCACTGGCAAAACATAGATACTAGTGACGGCCTTCAACTTTTGCTGTTTGTCACTACATACGTACATTATTTTACTGGTGGAAATAAAACTGAAATTGGTAAAAATATTAGTTTTGGTGTGTGTGTGCTCGTGTGCGTGTCTCTGTGTGTGTGTGTGCTTGTGTGCGTGTCTCTGTGTGTGTGTGCTCGTGTGCATGTCTCTGTGTGTGTCTCTGTGTATGTCTGTGTGTGTGTGTGTGTGTGTCTGTCTGTGTGTGTGTCACTGTGTATGTCTCGGTGTGTGTGTCTCTGTGTATGTCTCGGTGTGTGTGTGTGTCTGTCTCTGTGTGTGTGTTTGTGTATGTCTCGGTGTGTGTGTCTCTGTGTATGTCTGTGTGTGTGTGTCTGTCTCTGTGTGTGTGTGTGTCTCTGTGTGTGCCTCTGTCTGTGTGTGTGTGTGTGTCTCTGTGTGTGTGTGTGCGTGTGTTTATGTGTCTCTGTCTCTCTGTGTGTGTCTCTGTGTTTGTGTGTGTGTGTGTGTCTGTGTCTCTGTGTTTGTGTCTATGTCTCTCTGTGTGTGTGTGTGTTTGTGTCTCTGAGTGTGTCTCTGTCTGTGTGTGTGTGTGTGTTTATGTGTCTCTGAGTGTGTCTCTGTCTGTGTGTGTGTGTGTATCTGTGTGTAAGAGACCAGAGCATCATACAACATTACACCAGAGCTCACAATTACATATTTTCTTTCCCATTGTTTTATTTCCAAATGGGAAAACAGCTGTAGTTATCTGCAGTTCATCCAGAGTGATCATGGGCCTCTTGGCTGCATCTCTGATCAGTCTTCTCCTTGTTTGAGATGAAAGTTTGGAGGGACGGCCGGGTCTTGGTAGATTTGCAGTGGTCTGATACTCCTTCCATTTCAATATAATTGCTTGCACAGTGCTCCTTGAGATGTTTAAAGCTTGGGAAATCTTTTTGTATCCAAATCCGGCTTTAAACTTCTCCACAACAGTATCTCGGACCTGCCTGGTGTGTTCCTTTGTCTTCATGGTTCTCTCTGCTCTTTAAACAGAACCCTGAGACTATCAAAGAGCAGGTGCATTTATACGGAGACTTGATCACACACAGGTGCATTCTATTTATCATCATCAGTCATTTAGGACAACATTGGATCATTCAAAGATCCTCACTGAACTTCTGGAGTGAGTTTGCTGCACTGAAAGTAAAGGGGCAGAATAATATTGCACGCCCCACTTTTCAGTTTTTTATTTGTTAAAAAAGTTTAAATTATCCAACAAATTTCATTCCACTTCACGATTATGTCCCACTTGTTGTTGATTCATGACAAAAAATTAAAATGTTATATCTTTATGTTTGAAGCCTGAAATGTGGCGAAATGTTGAAAGGTTCAAGGGGGCCGAATACTTTCGCAAGGCACTGTATGTGTCTCTGTCTCTCTGTGTGTGTCTCTGTGTTTGTGTGTGTCTGTGTGTGTGTGTGTTTCTGTGTCTCTGTGTCTGTGTCTCTCTGTGTGTTTATGTGTCTCTGAGTGTGTCTCTGTCTGTGTGTGTGTGTGTGTGTGTGTTTATGTGTCTCTGAGTGTGTCTCTGTCTGTGTGTGTGTGTGTGTATCTGTGTGTAAGAGACCAGAGCATCATACAACATTACACCAGAGCTCACAATTACATATTTTCTTTCCCATTGTTTTATTTCCAAATGGGAATTGCTCAAGGGCATGGTCCACTTTCCATATTTCACGTCGTTTCAGAGTCTGTTTTGTGTCGTATAGAAATGCTTCTGTCTGGGTCATGGTTTCTTCTCACTGAACCGGCCGAGTTTGCTTTGACACCGCCCTTATCCTGTAGTTTAGACTAATGCACTGGTGTCGTTGATTCCCAAGTCTGCTTTTTATCCTCGTATCTATTCATCAAATCCAAGCCACTACTGATACATGATTGTTTGTAGACTCCTCCCACTTTTGCTTCAGCGATTCATGGAAGATTTAAGATGAAGAAGATCCTTATTTTGTCGCACAGTGGAAAATGTCAGTGTTGCAATAACTCGATACTAAAACAAAACCAAATGTGTAGCTTTAGCATACAAATGAAGTGCTTTAGCATAAGGGACCAAATCTAAAATCTCCAACTTTAGCATAATGAATAAGATAAACTTTACCTTATACCTATTACTTATTTTTTATTATAATGATGCATGTATAATGTGATGTATTTCTATGTCTTAGGGACCAGGTCTGCAAACTAGCTGTTAGCTACACGGCCTATGAACACAGCATCGGTTCCTCTAACAATGCTTCTTGTTCTGTCCCTATCAAATAAACACATAATAATAATAATTGATCTCACACTGGAGAAATGTGTCACATTTGGCCCAGATAGAATCCCTCAGATTGTGCAAAAGACAGAAGAGTGCACAGGTTAAAAATATAGTCTGTGCTGGATATAATTATGTAAAAAAAAAAAAAAAATGGCAATAGCATGTAGGTTTTTTCAATCCTAGTGCATTAGTGACTTAGTTATTTAGTGTACAGTCTGACAGTAGTGGGGATAAAGGCCCAATAAAGAAGAAGCCAGAATTAAGTATTAATGAAGTATTTAAGGCAAGGCAAGTCATACACAAGGCAACTCAAAGTGCTGAAAAAACCCAGATAGAAACAACAAGGCATTAAAATCATAAATAATCAGCATTCATTAAAGAGAGTAAAGCTTAAAACACAAAAACACAGACTTTAGCTTAATAAGAAGTAAGTCTAAAGTCTCTGGAGGCTTTACCAGGTATTTTTTATTGGGCATGGGTTTTATATTGTTTCTTTCTGTCTTTCTTTTAAACAATGTCATTTAGCTTTGTCGTTCTCTGCACTTGAAACCGATGTTTGATCACGCGGATTAAGACAAAGGATAAATGAAAGTCGGAAAAAGCTGTTAACGGTGAGTTTTAATGTCTCCTCCGGTGTGTCTGCCTCTCGCTCTTTGATACACTCCGCGAACAACCCCCACCTTCAAGAGCGCTGCTGGGTCTGCTTAGTGTCAAGGAGAAAAAAAGAAGAAAAGGTCTTGAGCCCGGAAGTCTCAGGGGACAGCCAGCGGCTCTCAGCCCAAACAGGGCAGTTCTCAGGGGGATCCAGCAGCTACACTCTGCCCCTCTGATCACCTGGTGGGCCCCTTCAAATCACTGTTGGACAAGTCTTTAAGAACAAAATACTATCTCAAGTATGGGTTTTTTATTCGTTTTTTTGCTTGCCAATGCAGAAAAGTCCAACGACATTTCCCCCTCTCTGTTGTTTTTATTGAGGTTCCTTGGTTTACTTGTTTTTATTCACTCTTGCTCTCTGGACATTTCTTCCATTGATTCTTGTTCTCTGGACATTTCTTCCATTGACTCTTGCTCTCTGGACATTTCTTCCGTTGATTTTCAAGTTTGCTGTAGCAGAGAAGCAAATGTGTAAATGAGAAATGGGTTGGCATTAAGATAAAATAATCTTCTTCCCTCTCCCTTTCAGGCAAATTGGTTTCGATTCTTTTTGTTACAGATATGTCTTTTTGTGTTTGAAAACAGCTGTGTTGCTCCTGTGTTGCCCGCAAAAAAAAAAACATAAATGCATATTAATAATAACATTTATGGACA